CTGCCACAGGGGTAGGGGTCATAGGTCAGACAATAGGAAGTGTAGTTTCATGCTGCGGTGTGCTGCAATGATGTTGTCAAAGACATGAAAGTGGTAGCATGCAAGTCTTGTAGCTTGCAGGACAGAGCTGGTTGGCTTTGTTTACATTATGCAGCTTCTTCTTTTTTTTGTTTTTTTTTTCCAAAATACCACAACTTAAAAAGGTGTTGAGGCACCACATTGTAGTCGTGTTCAGGAAGCTGCTGCAGCGCTTCATTCTCTCTGAACTAGTTACACTTACAGTTTATGATGACCATTATAACGTGCCACTTTGGTTCAGCCTTAATAATACTCGAATGTTCCTTGGTTCTTTTAGACCTAGAACTCCAATGGGGCTTTCGCGTCCCCTTCAACTGGGACTTGCGCGTGAAATTGAAAATGATTTTGGGGGAATTACCTCAAAAAGGTCACTGGTATCGCGTTACTGCTCTCCTGGGGTACTTTTTTTTTTGGCCTTACAGCCACCTAATGCCTCCTATGATTCTGTTGCAGCGAGCAGAATTATGGGAATTACGTGCTGGGGTGAGAGCTAACAGACCGTGGAGGGAATGGCGTTTTAGACATGGGCAGGTTCGCTGGTGCGTGGAGCGGCATGCGAAAACACCACGATACGACAGTTTACACGTGGGGAGGGAGAGAAGAGGGGGCACACAGTCAGTCATGCTGAGGGGGATCAGAAAGACAAGGAAGCCATGAAATGTGAACATGGAAGAGATGTGTTTGAAGTTACCCCTACCTCCCCCTGCTCACCACCACAACCACCACTACCACCTCCACTCAACCACTCCCCAACCCATACCAACTTCCTTTCCCCTTACCTCCTCCCCTCCTTTCCTCCCTCCCTCTATCCCATATGGCTGGCTCCACTACGCTCTCTTGGCCGGGGGGTTGTGGAGAGTTCAGTAGCTGTTCTTGCTAACGATGCCCCCCCCCCCCCACACCCACCCACCCACACCCTCACCCTCATACGCACACATACACCCTCCTCTTCACAGACCAACTGCTGCTCTGATAGTTGGGCCCCTCTGGCTGCCCCTCCCTGGGGAGAAAGCCCAACCGACACCTTCCTCTTCCCACATGCTCCTTGCCGCTGGCTCACCGGCTGGAACACCGAGGCCTCCCACATTCCGCCTTGCAGGCACTCCCCTTAACCCCCCCTCACCCCCCACACACACACACACACACACACACACAGACAAGGCGCATCACTGCTGAAGATAATTTTGGTTCATTACAACTTGATTCTTATTTATCATCTATGAATGTAGTGACACTGCTATAAAAAAAAAAGGCGAAGATGAAAATACGCAAATTACAGACCGACTTCCTGGTTCAGCTTTAACCTGCAGGTACTTAATGCACCAGTATACTCGAGCTCTTTGCACACACAGGTTTCCTGTGCGAGTGAGTGATAATTACCAACATCTTGGTTGTGTTCACTGTCATTTTTACAAAGAGGTTTAGGTCTTTAAACTCATTTGCAACCTGTCTCATAGCCTATCTGCCCGTATTCATTGCCCCGTCAAATTTTGCAATAGCAAAGTTGCTTTATTCTTAAATCTCAACAATTACTTTGGTGAGTACAATGACGGCTAAAACTATCAAAATAAGACCCAAGTTGTAATTGTGATGAGAAACGGCAGGAGAACTGGGACTGGCACAGATGACTTAGCCATACTATATTAAAGACATTTTAATGAGGCTTTCCTACAAATGTCAGCTGTTTACGTTCGTATTGCAATGTGGAAATAAATTAATTGCACAAACAAACAAAAACATTTCTTATGATCATACCTTTATTACTCAGTTATAAAAAATATTGGAGCAAATACCTTGAAACAAATTGAGTTTCATGTAGCGTGCACTTTCAGTACTTGTAAGATTTTGGAGGAATCTTCTTTGAGATGGAAGACGGCCAGAAAAATAGCATGATTATTGAATCTAACAGTTATTTGTCCGTTAGCACAAGTACCAGTTTCAGTGGAATAAACAGATTGCTCAACGGCTGGTTCAAGGCCTTGAGCTGGCGCACCAGCCAAACTCCTCTGCCGTCCTGCCTTATGTAATTGCAAAGCCACTTCAGCAGTGATGTCCCTGGTAACTGATTGTCCATTTAAATTTTGTGGATTACTAACTAATGGCTTCCAAGGTCATAATGTCACCCACGTTTTTCAGATGCTAATGGAAAAAGTATCTCTCAGTTAATGGTAAAAGTTTTCGCTATTTTGAATTGGTCCAAAAATCCGAGCAGACATAACGTTAGGATTATTGAGCCATGCAGTTCTGCTAATTTCCCCAGTGTTAATTAGTTTTAAAAGTTAAACTGAGCTGAGAGAGGGAGACTAATCTGCAAGTTTTTGCTATTTCTAATAATTTAACATAGAAAAAGCTAAATTCCCAGAATCAAAAGCCGAAGGTGTTTACGTTTGCCTCACATTCGTCATTTGATATGGAAAACAAATTGAATCAGTAAATGGCTAAAAGTGTGCCACTGTTCCTCCTGCCCGTCAGTGAGGAGCCTCTGTTATACGAAAGCCAATGTGTTTGGTATAATGTGTTTTATGTTTACGTGAGTCTAGTTAGTAATTTGTCCTGCACCAGCTGAGCACCTGTTCGTGCTGTGTGGTTTTGTATTGCCACAAGCGTAAATAGATGAACACTTCATAGGCCGACCAACATGTTTGTTTGTGCAGAACATCCTGTTGCAGAGAGGTGTGGGAAAAGGGTTGCTGTTTATTTTGATTTTGCTTGAAGGTCCTTGCCACATTCATGGTCACATTTGTTTGTGGGCCAAATGTGTTTGAGTTATCGGCAAGGATGTATGCGTGTTCATATGTACATCCGCTTCTCTACACCAATAAGTAAACGATTATAGTGTATTTCTGCATGTCCTGTGCGTTCGTGCACAGATTTCTGTGTACAAGTAAATCTAGTACATTCAAAGCATGATAAAAGCTGCCTGTCACACTCAGACGGCATGTCGTGCATGCTCTGCTTGTGCAGCGGCTGTGTGCGTCACAGGGAGATAAAGAAAAAGAGCGAGGGGGCGTCATACGCATTTTCCTGTCCGCGGCGCAAGCATCAGATGAGATGGTGAAATTTTTAGCCTTAGCACTGTCTCTCAGTGTGTCCGCCCACTTGTAGCAGGCTGGCGCTTGCCATAAGGGATTTCCTGCACAACATCTATCGCTCAGCAAATGTGAGTGACAATGAAGGCCTGATTCAATTCAGAGCAACAAAATATGGCAAGCCTGGGGAGAGAGGATTGTGTGTCTGTTTCTTCACATAGATCATCTTGAATAGGCATGAACTGGTGGAGCAAACTCCCTGGTTTGTCGTCTCCGCACAAAAAAAAAAAAAAAAGTATGAACCACTGCTTACACCGTGTCATTACTAGATACTTCTGTTTTCCTTGTGTTGACTACACTTCCACCTGTACCCTCCGTCTCAGCGCTGTGTTGCACTCAGATTCACCTTTTGGTTTTGAATGTCATTTACAAGTGTGCCCATCCATGTTGAACTACTTTGTTTACGCCCCGTCTGTCTTGCCTGTGGGCATGTATGAGCATATGTACAGTAGTGTGTACACATGCATGTTGGTTTGTGTGAGTGCATGTATGTGTGCGGTTGTATGTTTGTCTGTGTGCTGGTTGCTTTTGTGTGCGTTAGTGTTTGCCCGGGCTCCTGTCTGTCTGACAGTGCAGTGTGTCTGACTGTTCCTGTTTCAACCCCCTCTCCCTCCTCTTCCTCTCTCATTCTCTCTGCCTCTTGCGCTCTCACTAACCCTCACTCTTTCTCTCTCCCTTTTTCTATCACCCTTTCACTCTACCTCACCCTCTCTCTCTCTCCCTCTCTCTCTCTCTCCCTCCTCTTCCCTCTGCAATAACAGTGCTGACCTAGTTTCTGCCTGTTCAGGGCTGCCTGTGGAATTTTACAGCGGCCTGCCTTCCTGGCTGCTTTGCTGCTTGAAAACGCAGGCAGAAAAGCATGACTGAGGATTTTTCTTCTCATCGCATCATTATGGCCTTATACTGTCTCCGTTCTTCTCCCTAATCTGCAGGCCTAAACAAATGGAACCATTTTAAATAAGTAATAACAGTAAATTGCATGTCGCACGTGAATCTGCAGCTGTTTTATGTATGGAGAGATTGCGGGACTGCCTCCACCACCGTGGCAGCTGAATTAGAATGGAAATGAGAATAGCCTGTCGCTCATCTTCTACAGCTTAGCTGAGATTGTACCGGATGCAGAGGGGGAGCGGGGGGGAGGGGGGACACCCCTTCTCTGTGCACATGCATGCAGTCTCCCTCCCTCCCTCCCTCCCCCCCCCCTTTGCCTTCACAAATAAATGGTTAGAGTCATGCCCGGCAAATACTAGCCACTGCCAGGAATGGCTAACAAGGCCCTTGCTCAAATAGCAAGAGAGTGGGACTATTTTTATGTGCGTTAGGGCCATGGATCTAAGTCAACACTCTATTCTGAGGGAATCTTGATTAAATCTGAACGCCTTCCAATTAGGCATAGGGAATGTTGTGTCACAGCCGAGAGAGATGGATCTCTGGAATGCCTTTCTGAAGGCTTGGCTGTGGCACGCTGAAATCTAAACCAGCGCTGCCGCAGATTCATTCCTTCCCCCTACCCTCTCCCTCCTTTCACTCACCATTCCTGGCTGAGCTGTTGGACTTTAGCATTGCTGGGGCATTCAGTTTTCTTTGCCGTTTCTCAAAAGTGTTCCATGAGCGCCATGACTGCCTCTGCAAAAGCTTTGAGTGTAATGTCCATTTTTGCTACATATCAACGTACGTCTGTGTGTTTGCACATTTACCGTTGGGTGTTTACAGAGCTAACGTATTCTTTTTGATCTTTCTTTCAGATTTCGGGGGCTGGTCATGGTGTCCGGTGAGAAGGTGTGGGACCCCCTCCATGCGGGCCTTATTCAGTCTCGTCTGAGTGAACAGCACCTGGCTACTGGGCTAACTCCCCTCTGCAACCTCACACGTACTGCAACTGAGGGAGCCACGTGCCGCCAGAGTCAGCGGCCGCTACCTTTGTCTTCCCCGCCACCTTTACACCTGCCTGTTCGTTTGTACAGCTCAAAAAAGATCGTAGGACTACACAAACCTGTCCGGTCTCTTGGGGTGGCCTCTCAGCCTGAAGAAGAGGAGGAGGAAGGGGAAGCTGAGCAGTTGGAGATGAAGGGTAAAAGGCATGGAGGCCGGGGAGAGGCCATGATGGAGGACAGGTTAGAGGACATGGCCGATGGACCTAAAAATGCAAAAATCACCTTAAGCTTCCCACTCAGTGCTGCCCCCCTCCCGGCCTCCCTCACATCTCCAAACCACTGTCGTAGCTCCTCCTCGTCCTCCCCTTCCCCCCACAGACGGCGGCCATCCTCCAAGAGCTCAGATGAGGGATCGCTGTGGAAACTGGACGCGACCATGGATGTAAAGCACAGACCTTTCAAGCCCCCAAGGCATGACAGCTCTCCGTCCTCTTCACCTTCCTCCTCCTCATCTCCCATGACTGTTCATGCACTTATCAGGAAGGATATAAAATCCCCGCCTCCTCTCAAGTGCTCCAAACTCAATCCAGAGACTCCGTTTCAGAGGTCGCCCCCAAGATCCTCCAGCGGGTCTTTAGGGGGCTGTTATGGTGGAGATGGATGGGATGAGAGGCACAGGGTGGCCAACGGTACAGCCTCACCCTCTCAAACTGCCCAGATCCTCTTCAGTCTGGGCACATCAGCTTATCAGAGGGGTGGGGATGCAGAGAGGAGAGAAAAAATAACAGGAAGACCAGCTGGTAAAGTAGGAAGCCCTCATGGACCAAGCCTTCACCCACCCACCCTCCACCTCCCTCCCCCCTTACCACCACCTCCTCCTCCCCCATCTGAGGGTCTTACCGCACCCCCCCACTCATCATCCTATTCCCCTACCGACAGCCTGAAGCCTGAGCTGATTTGCGGGGTGTGCCATCGGCTTTTCAGCTCGGCCTCCTCCCTCACAGTCCACATGCGGCTGCATCGTGGCAGCCGTGCCCTCAGTTGCCGTTATTGTGGCAAAGTCTTCATCCACAGCAAGAGACTGCAATCCCACGAGACATCCTGCAAGGTGCCAGGCCTTCCCTCCGACAGCCTGGGCCCTCCTTCTCTCACTGTGCAGCCGAAGGAGGAGCCGCTGGAGGAGGGTGAGGTGAGAGTGGAGGGGGGAATGATTGTGGGAGAAACTGACATCAGTAAGGCGCGGCCAGGGAAGAAAGCACGGAGCCTCCTGGCGCGTATCCAAGGTGATGATGCAGCAGCCGCAGAGTTACTGGCGGGTGATGAGAACCATTTTGTGAAGGTGGTAGATGGCAATGTCATTTACTTCTGCTCTGTGTGCGAGCGTTCCTACATGACCCTATCCAGCCTGAAGCGTCACTCTAATGTGCACTCATGGCGCCGCAAATATCCGTGCCATTATTGCGACAAAGTCTTTGCCCTGGCTGAGTATCGTACAAAGCACGAGGTGTGGCACACGGGAGAGCGGCGCTACCAGTGCATCTTCTGCTGGGACGCCTTCGCCACCTACTACAATCTGAAAACACACCAGAAGACCATTCATGGGATTAACCCCAGCCTCATCTCCAGTGAAAAGACAGCTAATGGAGGTTATAAGCAGAAAGCTAATGCCCTCAAGCTCTACCGCCTTCTCCCCATGCGCTCCCAGAAGAGACCCTACAAGACCTACAGTGACAGTTTGCATAATGGCCTGCTACTGCCACCGACTGACACACCTCCCCTCTCCCTGCCTGGCCTGGGCTGCGCTCTGGGGCCTGGGGACCTACAAAGCCTCATCAGCGGAGCCCACCCTCAGAGTGTTAAGCCTGACCCAGATGCCTTCCCCGATGACTTCCCCGTTTCTGTGGCTGCTGACCACAGGGACCTCTCCCCACTCACACCCCTCGCCTCAACGGACATGCCCCAGGTTAAAAAACACGAGAGCGAGGCCTTAGAGTTAGAGCAGGGCAGAGGTAGTGGCAGCTTCAAAATGTCTAGTAGCAACAAAACCAAAACTCCCAAGACTGGTAAAGGCACAGAAACAAGCATGCCGTCTGTGATAACATATGGACATACAAAACCCTCTGTCATAGTTCATGGAACAGCAGTGTCGTCCTCCGTCATTGTGCACAGCAACCAGGTCACATCTGGGAGTGAAAAGAGTCCAATGAGCAGCCCGTCCCCTGAAACCAGCAACAGTCAGACTTCACACAAGGGCAGCCCGAGGCCACTGAAAAAGCAAAGGGATAGTGCAGATAACCATAGAAAGAGGTCGAGAGACAGTTCAGATACCACAGAGGAGGGTTCAAGAGGTGGACAGGACGCAGAGACAGGCAGATTATTTCACAAATCACGCAAGTCCCACAGCAAGAGTGACATCTCTAACACAAAGCAGCTGTCAGCATCTGTAGGGTCACAGGTCAAAGAGGCAGGGCCGCTGTGTCAGATTACTGTACGTATTGGTGAGGAGGCCATAGTGAAGCGCAGCATCTCTGAGACAGACCTGAGGAGAGACAAGGGCCTTTCTCCCCCAAAAACCAAACGGAGTGAGACATCATCTGCGCGGGAAGCCAAGGAACCACGCCACTCTCACTCCCACCATCATCACCACAAACACCGCCTCCACCGCAGAGCCAGCATGGAAGCAGAGGGCGATAAGGAAGGAAACTGTGAGGAGGAGGTCAGGAAAAAGACCTCCAAATCCCCGGAGGGAGTGAGAGAGTACTACTTCCGTCAGGAGGTGCGTGAGCAGGAGAGCGACCATGACATGGAGGATAATTTATGGCGGCCTTACTACTCCTACAAGCCTAAGAGAAAGGCCCAAGCGCATCTGCAGAGGGTCAAGAGCTGGCAGAGGAAACTGAAGTACAAGCGCTCCATCCGGCTCAAGAGGAGGGCAGAGAGGCTCAAGAACCGTGTGAATAAAGAAACGGAGAAATCACAAGATGAGGAAGAGGATGGGAAGATTGAGGAGACCCCAAAACTGTCAAAAGCTAACAGAGACAAGGGAGAGGGGAAAAAGAAAGATTATCTCTCTGCCCCTTTGAAGGAGAAAAACAAAGTCGCAGGAGAACAGGTTAAGGAGGCCCGTCATGAGGTCCCCCCCCTTCCTCTGCACTCTCCAAAGCCCCCCCTGTCTACCTCAGTGGCTCCTACGGGAATAAAGAGGCGGCCTTGGACTAATGGGAATGCAGCAGAGTGTGGTACATGTGGCCGCTGGTTCTCAAGCCCCAGGAAGCGAGACAAACACGAGCTGAGCCATCTGCTGGAGTTTGTATGCCTCTTCTGCCGAGCCACTTTCCCTTCGAGGGATAAGTTGGAAGACCACCAGAGAGCCCAGCATCCCAAGCCTACTGAGGGACCCTCTGCACCCCCTAAAGTGGCTCTCGGCGAACAAGTCGAAGGGGTCGGGAACAAATCTGTGCCAGAGATCGCAAAGTTTGATGAAGAAAAAGGGGGGCAGGTGGGCTTAGTAGGGAGAAATTCTAGTCCAAGTCGCCTGAGCAGAAGAGCATTATCACGACACACCTGTCCACAGTGTCATAAAGTGTGCAAGACATCTTCAGCACTAACTCGCCATATCCGACGCCATGAGTTAAGCAGTTCCCCAGAAAGAGAAAAGGAAGATAAAGCCCCGGAGCCAAAAACAACAGAGACAGTTGTTAACGCCGTTAGCAGAGACCTAGAGACTGAAAAGGGACAGGTTCCCAGTGCTCTCTCTGTTTCAGTTATCAGCTATTCAACTCCAGACCCGCCCACCAGCGGTGACTGTTTGGCATCACAGCAGCATGAAGACCATCACAGAGAACTGACAGAGGAACATCACATGTCAGAATCCAGTGACAAACCCGAACTACCCGAGCTCACACATCCAGCTCCAGAGAGGGAGCCCAGCCCACATATTGCAGACCCTCCATTAGAAAGTCCAGTTAATCTCACGCCCCCGAAACATGAATTCACACCTGCCGCACCATCTACCCTCCAGAGTGTGCTCGTCATGAATGGGTCTGAATGTCTGGACTACCGCACCCCCAGCAAAAAGAACCTAGACAGCCAGATCCACAGAATACCCAGCCCCGTGCACATCGTGGCATCCACCAACACCTCTCCAAATGTGCCCATGACGTCACAGACCAGAATAACCACTGCTGCTCCTCCTGTTTCCATGACAACAGCTCCCAGCTCTGAGGGGGGATTCATGAAACGGGATGGGGTCATTATGGACAGGGAGAGGCAGGGTGGGGGTGGTATATTTCTACACGCAGGTTATGAGGAACCACCTCGGGTCCAAGATCTCAGAGTTCCATCCCTGTCCAGGAGTCCCTCTCCCAATGAAGCACAAGACCTGACCATGTCCTCTATACTAGCGAGAGAGAGGGAGATAGAGAGGCAAAGGGAGAAAGAGAGGGAGCTCGAGAGACAGAGAGAAAGGGAGAGGGACAAAGAAATGGAGAGAGAGAGAGAAAAAGAGATAGAGAGGGCCCAGCAAATGAGTAGAGTTGCTCATGCCCCAGAGGAGCAGATTGCGCTCTTGGTCCCTAAAGAGGAGCCCTTGAGTCCTGTGCCGTCCCCCCAGCACATCCCCTGTCAAACCACTATGAATGGACCCTCCTCACACAGGCACACCCCCAAGTCCCCCTGTCGGTCCCCCTCAACCATTGGACTGTTAGCTCAAGCCAACCGCCAGGTTCACTCCAGTTCACAAGGACTCGACAGGCTCTCACTGCCCACTGGAGCAGCTGGTGCCGGTGACCGCCCCTCTGCCCACGCTCTGCTTCTCCCCCGCGCCCCTCAACCACCTGAGCCAGAGCACCAGGACACTGTTTCTTCCAGAGATTCTCAGCAGGGGGACGCCACCCCAGTGGGCTACTCTGCCCAGGATTATCCCCTACCCCTCATTGTGCCGGACAGCTACCGCTCTGGTAAGAAGCAGGAGGAAAACCTGCTAATGTCCTCCTATCCTGCTGGAGCGCTTCCCTTTGGCCCACTGGGAAAAGTGATGGTCCCTAATGGCGGGGACCTGGCCAAGCTGCCATTTTATCCGGACCCTTACCAGCTGCTCTATGGCCCCCAGCTGCTGGCCTACCCCTACAACTTAGCAGCTCTTCCTGTGGCTCTGAATATGATGGCACCTGGGGGGGACAAGGTGGAGCCTCTGCCTTTCCTCCCAGCCATCTTCAACTACGCAGCCACTGCTGGGCCCTACATGGGCGCAGCGCCACACCCCCTTGTGGCAAATCCCAGCCTGTACAGCGGCAGCAGTGGCAGCAGCAAGAAGCAACGAGACAGCAGCAGCAGCAAACCGTAGGACAACAGAAGCACTATGAGGAATATATTTTAAAGGGGACGGCCTGGCCTGTTTGGGATGAGCGGGAGGGGTGCGTGCTCACTGGGTCACTGACTACACCCGTACAGTACCCCTGCCTCTCCTTTATTCAGTAGAGATCAGAGCTAGGCATTAAATCAGGAGTAGGTGTGAAGGGAGGAGATGGAGCAAAGAAACGGGGAGGATAGGCTGATATTATAGTGACGTATCATTACTCCCCTCTCTTTACTCCTGCTCACCTTCCTCCGTTTCTCCTGTCTTGCTGTAGTGTGTCGTAGTTCTAGAGCTTGATTAATCTTCCTCTCTGACTCATTATATTATCTATAATATAAGAATAAGAACTGCTAACAGGGTGTGTGTTGTGTGAAAAATTAGTTCAGTCTGCTTCCCTTTATAGTCACCGCATAACGAGGATAAACGCTCTTCAGGGAAGGCTTGTGTGGGCAACGATAAGGGATGAGACAGAGGAGTCCTCACTCAACACAGTTGGAGGTGGAGCATTAAGCAACTCAAACCTTGCGTATGTTTGTTTGTGAGAATGAGAATGCAGGTGTAGCCTGCTGTGTTAAACTGTCCATGAAAGTTATATATGAGCATGTACATGCACACGTATGTAGGGATTTGTGCATGCAGAGGTGGGCTTAAGCAGGTATTACTGCGTATGTGTGAAAGAGTGTGTGTCACTGTGTGTGTGTGTGTGTGTGTGTGTGTGTGTGTGTGTGTGAGTGAGTGAGTGAGTGTGTGTGTGTGTGCGCGCATGAATGGCTAGATCATTCCGTGTCAGACGCACACAGCATTCCTACTCTAGTTGGAATAGCTACTGTAGGTCAATGTATAGAAGTGCATTTAGAAGTGATTCCTCATATCCAAATCATTAAGAAGTCAGTTCTGTGGCTGAACGCGAGTCTATGACAATGACAGATCATCTGAGCTTCTAACGTCTCAACTAACCATGTGACTTTGTGGCCAGATGACACTGTAGGATCTGTATAGCAGTCACCATAGTTTATACCTTATGTGCACAGCACAGAAAAGTAGTGGTCACTTAAAGGGGACACTTGTAGCTGCTTTGGATATGTAGCTGGCCACTGGGTAAGAATTGAAGGCTGATAGACCATTGCACTTCCGTTTTTCATCTCATTTCCTTCACATTAAAAAAAAGGAAAAGAATAAAAACCAGTCAGCCTTCACCTTGCGTAGCTTTTACCTCTTTGATTGGAAGAGGAAAAGGCTCCATTTCCTAAGCCAGGAAGAAGAAGGCAACAGCAAGGAAGGAATAAGAAAAAAAAATGGATTCAGGGTATTGAGTTATTTCTGGATAGGAAAAGAAATATATGGGCACAAATCTTTTGGACTCCTGAGTCAGAAGGTCCCACAGAAATGATTTGGGGAACAAAAAAAAAAAAGTGTTCCTGCTCCCCAACTGAGGGGAGATTGGAAATAGTCTGAACTATTTCCCCTCCTGCCCTGTGTCATTTGCTAAGTGGTAGGAAAAGGCTGAGCTAAGCAGCCAAAGTGGTGGCCGAAACTCCCCAGATGCCCTCCTGGGGGCCTTTTTGTTATGTGTAATGTTATCTCTATATGTTTGTTTTGTTAAAGTATGCTGTTGTTTATGTTGTTTAGCCCTCTTACCAGATGGAAGTGGCTTCAGTGAAAAGGGGGAGTAAACTTAAAAATATGAATGTAAATTTAGTCATGAGGTTAATGAAGTACAGCTGCATTAATGGTAGAGTTGGTTTCAGTTCCTTTTTGTTTCTGTTTTGACACAAATAACCTGTTAAAGAACCGTATAACGTCTGGTATACATATATACAGTAGTCCTAGGAACATGTCAGTAAACTTGGGTTCTGTATCCACAAAGCATGAGCAACACTTGCTTCCTAACCGTTTATATCCTCAGCAAATCTGGCATTGTGCGCACAGCTTTTGTTTCCGTTTCCTTTTATATTTTCTGGCCTTTTAATCTTCCATATCTCTGTTAATATTTTTTCTTTTGTTTTTTTCTTTTGTTTTTTTTTTTTAATTAATTATAGACCACAGTTTGGAGAAGATCCACAAAACTAGCTGCCACATTTACATCTCACAGTCACTATTTAGGAGCTGTTTAATTCTCCCTCTTCCCTCAAGCATACACTCACGCACTGCACCTCTGAATGAAGTACATATGTTTCGGTGTGTGTGTGTGTGTGTGTGTGTGTGTGTGTGTGTGTGTGTGTGTGTGTGTGTGTGTGTGTGTGTGAGAGAGAGATGGTACTGGGGCGCCTTTTGGATCAGGCAGGAGTGTTAAAACACAGCGTGACCAACTGAAAGGGCGCACAAGCATCCCTTTGGGTGTGGTTACAAGCCTTTTGCGTGTGTGTGTGTGTGTGCGCGAACGTGTTTTATGTGTACGAGAGCGAGTGACTGCGTGAATAAGAAAACCAAAATAAAATCTGCCTAAGCAGCATATCCCTCGGCAGTATATGGGCCACCTGTTATTTTTTTTTTTGTTTTTTTTTTTTGTTGTTCGACACTTTTCTGTGGGTTAGTTTCAGTGTAAAAAAGCCTTGCTGTCTCCAATACACTATCTCAAGCCATTCCTGTAGATGGACATGTTTGTGTTTTTGGACCATTTCTTATGCCATAGTTTGCCATCACGGTTATCATACAGACCAAAAGCATGCAAATCGACGTATTGTAGTGACTGGACTGGAATCTGGTGGTAATATACAACTATTTACTGTATGTTTTAGTTTAAATGAATGTGCCTCTGCTTTGATATTTAAATAATTATCTATAGTAAGATGTGGATCTGCCAGATTTCAACTGTTAAGGTGCCTTGTTATGGCATAAGAAATTTGAATAGCAAATGAACGTTTTCTTGAGAAATGACAGTATGATTTGGAGATAGATTTCATGGCTTTGTTTGCTATGAAGCTGTTCATAGACGTAGGGGTGTGGCTAAACTGTTTTGGTATCGTGTACATGTCTAGGGTAATACTGTGCCATATAGAGCCCACAAAATATGTTAATGTTATTTTTAAAAGATGTTTTAATGTTGCCTGATGACTTTGTCTTTAGATTTGATACAAAGGCTTGTAGCCACAGCTCTCCCAAAGTCTGTAGTCTCCTTTTCCGACATTCTTCTTGTTCTCTCTCTCTCCTCTTGTTTCCGTCTCCCTTTCTTTCTCTTTGCTGCAATCAAACAAAATAAAGTATTAACCTGATGACCCAATGAAATCAGCTCTAGTTTGGTCTCATGTTTTTTTTATTATTATTTTTTTATTTATTTTTTAAATGTGTCCATTTATCTTAACATGTTGATTCAGAGTTCTTAATATGAAGCACATGCTGAAAGTTGGTGCATTCCTGGTTTGACATTGTTTGAATTCTGTAGAGAAATGTGCATTTAGCATTTGGTAAATTGTCAAAAAGCAGAACAAAATTGTGGAGATCCTTTGCACCTCTTTTCAGCTCATAGCCACTTGTTTTGATACGGATACAATTTACTTTTATTGTTTAGCATTAAGTGTTAATTTAATATCTTGTCTGTTTCCAGTGGTGCATGTTTTTTGTATCTTTGGTTATATATTACATGCTGTTTTCTTTTTTTTTTTTTTTACAGCACACATTCATGTTTTCTCTTCACTACACCATGATCTGCGAGTTGGTTGCAGACATGCTGTATAAACAGGGTTGATTACAGCTTCCTCTTGGCAGAGTCAGGAGCTGATTTCTTAGCACTTTCCCACTAGTGACACTCAGTGGTTTAAACAGGAACAGTCAGTCGAGTGACTGGCTCATCTTTGCACTCCAAACAATATGATGTCAGAGAGTAATTTCTCCTGAAAACACTGAATGTGAATGAAATTTAATTGATTTCTTAAAACATTTTCCATGAAAGTCATGAGTGGAAAACGAATGATGCGTTCATGGAGTTCTGGGTGGTTGTGGTTTAAAGTCACAGTGGTCTACTACAAATAATCATTTTGGTTTTTCAGCATAGCAAAGCTCAGGATCAGTTTACCTCAATGGATCTTTTTCACAGCACGCTAGAAAAAACTGATATTGCTAATTTTAACAATGGCTCTGTTCTATAAAGTGTCCTAGTAAGCATTGACATTGGGCCAGCGTGCACAACACCAGGACGCTGAAACTGAAGCATTTTCCTACTGTGACATGTCAAAATAAAAGCCCTGCTGTATACATGTATACAGTGACCGTTAATAGGCATTAGGCACACGTGAAAGAAATGTTTTGCTGTCATTTAATATTTCAGATTGACTTCAAACACTCGACAACAGAATAACAGACTGTTTACTGATTGTTTCTTTCTGTGTGTGTGTGTGTGTGTTTGTTGCATTTTTCCTAGTATTTCCCAGTTATCCAGACTTCCAGGAAGGAGCCTATCACAGGAATGCAGCCAGCAGAAAAGAAAAAACTGTTCTGTGACTTGCAGCACTGTTCCCTTCTCATCGCTCTCTCTCCCATTCACACTACAACAAATACACACACTGACTCATAGCCAGCAGTGGTCAATCAAGGTTCCTGTGTAATGGGTAAACACCACATCAGTGGTCTGGCTCAGGTCACTGACCCAGCCTGCAATTATGTCCAGGCTGCATAATTCACCACTGTGGCAGGAGATTCACTCAGTGATAGAAATTCACTCTTTGACAATTTTTTTTTTTTTTTTGCTATTAATTTGGAATAATTTTTAATATTACAACATCCCTTAACTGACACCCTTATCTTTATCTTTTCTCTTTATTTTTTCCCCTCATTCTTTCCTCTGCTCGCTGGTTGCCCCACTGTGTCTTTCTCACCCACCTACGTTAAAGCAAACTTCCTGTCACAGCCACGCAGACATGAAGCACTCTCTCCCCGGGGATCGATAGCACTGACCGTGGCATATTTGCTCTCTGGACCCCAGGACAGTGTGCCAGCACACACCGCCGCTCCACACACACTGTTGCAGAGTCCCTCTGCTCCTCATACCACCACCCACACCTCAGGGTAGTTTGGAGTCTGTAGACCACCCAAGGGCTCAGGACACTGCACGCTGGGAGGCCTGGGTGGGTGAATGCACTGAAGGATGGCCGTGTTTTGTAAAGCTGTGGCAGATGGACTACTCCTCACTTTGAGCCTCGCTCTGCTGGGGTGGGGAGCTGAGGGCCAAGGAAACGGACGGGGTATGGTATGTTCAAATGCAATGCAAAGAGTATAATGGAATTAATGGGGCATTAGTGTGTGTGCTTGTGTTAAAATGCTCTTATCTATATCAGCTCATCTGTCTCTATCTGTGTATCCACTGGCCATATTAAAAAAAAAAGGAACAAATTCCAAAGAAGGTGGATATCCTAGTATAAATATGGTGTATAATCAAGTCCCCAAATCTCTGTAGTAGTATGAATGGTTCCTGTGACATGTTAGTGCTGATTCTGCTCACTGTAAAAATCAGGAAAGCGCCACGCAGCCCAGAAGTAGTTGGAAATATCTCTCAAAGCCTCTTAGGCTGTTTTCAAAAGATCGTAATGACGCCTGAAAAATCCTGAATCAACTCATATTGTATGAAATTCAGATGCCAGTTGATGTGTTGTATCCCAGCATGCCCTACTAATAATTTGTTTAAACTTAGGACTTTGCTCAGTCTGTTGAAAGACAGATCAGCGCCATGACACCACTAGCTCTTTTAACTTCATTCACTGATTTTTTTTCCCCATTAAGTTTCGTGATAAACATTATATATTGATACACTGCAGTTGGATTCCATATGGGCTTCTTGTCAAAGAGTAACAATTGATTTTGCACTTCATTACCGCATAATTTGAATGACCACACTTCTTTTGTTATGTTCTAATTAAGGCTTTTACAATGAATCAATAATTGAGTAGAAATTCATCACTCAGTTTAATATGTTTTTAACCACTAATCAACGAGAATCAACCAGTAATCAATCAAGATGTCTGACAAGTGAATACTAAAGCAGGGACTAATGAATGTGAACTGTGCAGAGTACAGAGCTAAAGTTATGATGCCTTACGATGCTCGTGTCTTCCAGAGGGAAGTGTCAGGCAGGGCTACCGTCTACCTCGGCCAGGACAGAGACATCTGGAGGCCACTGATCCACACAACAGTCAACCTCAGTGAGATCAGCAGGTATGTCAGCAGCAGCAAAACGCCGCAGCATGAAGGCTTCATATCTACTACTCCATGGGAATCTGTGGTTCAGGAGGCAGAGAGAAAAGAAAAAAAAAAAAAAAAAAAAAGGACAGCACCTGTGAGCCAATTCAGAGTTTGCAGAAAACTTTCAGAGCAAGCACTACAGGAGAGTAAGTGAAAGCAAGTGCAGGGTATGATGAGGAACTCTGGGCCCAGTGGAAGGTTGTTGATCCTGGCTCTCTTATTTTTTAACAGACATGTTACAATCAACTGTCTTTATAAAAGGCTTTCTCCAACTGCAGGCTCTCTATCACTGCTACTTACCCCTCTGTCTACTGGGTAAACTCTATAGGGTAAAATATGGCTGGTCAGCATTAATATTCAAGCCTTAGAAAAAGTTATCAGAAATGGGTTTAATTCTGTTCTGCTCCATTCTATTCCTGCAGCATCAAGTCGTCCTTTCAGGTACGGACGTTTGACCCAGAAGGCATCATCTTCTACGGGGACACCAAAAACGGAGAGGACTGGTTTGTTTTGTCCCTGAGAGACGGGATCCCTCTGATGCAGATTAGCAAAGGAGACATGCTCGTCAGCGTGGTAGGCGGCCCCAAACTCAACGATGGGAAGTGGCACACTGTAAGTTTCCAGTGCAGTTTAATTTGTTGTAAAAGGGAGCAACAATATCTCTTTGTATAGTATAGTATAGTTTTTGATATAATTCTTGGTAAAAGTTGTTTTGCAACTTTTGGAAATAAGGTGTTTTTTTGTTTTTTTTATCCCTGTGGCAAACCTAAAAAGTTATTTGAAGATTTAAGGTATAATAAGAGATGATATGCTTTTGAGAGCTCCTCGTCATGTACTCAGAAAGCATACGGCACACTGGACTTGTACAGGAACTCTGGCTCTGAATTTTCTTGTTCTCCTGGTGCCACCAAGCTGGAGGTGAGCAACCACGGGAAGTTTGTGATTCTCGAGGTGGATGGCTCCGATGGGCTGGTGGTGGGCATGCAGTCCAAACAGACAGAGGAGGTCATTTCAGGTCAACTCCGATTGGCTCTTGGCGGGATCCTGATCGACAAGGAAAAGATGATTGTTCAGGTACAGTGCTTTTTTGTGTGTGTGTGTGTGTGTGTGTGTGTGTGTGTGTGTGTGTGTGTGTGTGTGTGTGTGTGTGTGTGTGTGTGTGTGTGTATTCCATGAGTTGTTTTGTGATTGTTGGATCCACTTTTCCTCAACATGCTTCATCTACTTCGGCTCCGAGTATCTCCACAGAATGTACATGGACTCAGACAGAGCAATAATGATAATAAAGCAGTGAAAAAAGAGTTGTTGTTCATTTTGCTGAAATGTTATAAGCCTCCTCCTTTTTTAAAAACACATGCCTGGTGTTTTAATGCTGGCTGCAGTTCATTCTGATTCACAGAGACTATTGTCAGTATCTCTGCCTCCTCTGCTTTGGATATCTGTCCGTATTATTGTCGAATGTCAGCTCGACTTGATAAATCTAAGAACAAGCTCAAAAGTTGAAAATGTATCAGTGTGTTGTAGATTGTAGTTGCAGCTTTATCCTGGAAATACCTCTCCTTTTTTATCGATATTTGGTCAATTATCTTGATAATAAGGCAAATATACCAGCATAAAATGGGTGTATAAATTATAGATTGCTTTATTAAGTAGAAGTAAGGTGTGATGTTACTGTGCAGAGGGGTTTTGGTGTGAATCTCTTCTTTAAACAACCTGTAAATGGACTGTGAAACTGTATATTGTTTTATTTATTATCACTCTTTGTACTACTCTACGTGTACATTGTTTTACTGTTTCTATTACACCTTGATATACATAATTGTCTTACCTGCACCTGGGCACAAGAGAAAACACTATTTTTTTTACCTTTGCACAAGTGTGCTGAAGAATCTTGAATGTTTAACATTTCTGAACCTTCTACAGGTGCCAGCTCTTCCCCTCCCTGTTTGTGCTGCAGTTCATTCTTCTAAATGCATTGTTGCATTCTTTGCTGTAGTTCGAGCCGCAGATGGACGGCTGTGTGCGGGAAGGCAGCTGGCTAAACATCAGCGTCCCCTGGGAGACAGAGGCGGAGGAGCTCCGGCCCTGCTATCAAAACATCCAGCCTGGCAGCTACTTCCCTGGCACTGGGTTTGCCATTTTCAACACCTCAGGTGGGAACGTTGTGCTCAGCTGCGCAAGAGATGGGCAAGTGCTAACACTTCATTTAATAACAAGCTTTTCATCTGGCCTGGATAATGCATTCTCGCATGACAAGGCATCTGAGGTATCAATAATATTTCCTTTTATTTCTAATTGGATCTAATCAGATTTAACATGTTAATAGGCGTGCTTTTCACTGGATGGTTAACAAGTCACTCCAACACATATTCTGTTAATTATGTGAATTATTCTTTTGTTCTTTTGCAGTTTTCCCCACTGAGGCAGATAATGAGGTCAAGATTGAATTGTGGGGAGATTTCAGTCAGATGGATGGGACCATTTTGAGCATCAACGCTCCTGGGCAAGAGCTGATGTTCGCTTTAATGGTCAATAATAACACAAAGGTATGCATATAAATCAGACGTGAGCCTAAGTGAATTCACAAATAATTCCTAGATTCTGTTTTAAACTGCTCATGGCTGTAAGGGAGGCTTCACATCTTCCACGACCATTTGCTTCATGTGCATTGGAGACCACTATGAATCCATCCAGTTATGTATTGTTATGTAAACTTATTTCCTCTGTCTTTCTCTTGAATTTGCAGGAGATCACAATCTTCGCCAAAGATAAGACCACTACTAAAAACTATTACAAAAGACTGGCGATAACCATTCAGGCAGATTCACTGACAGTGATTCAGGAAGACGATGAATCCACCTCAATCTCTATATTCCACCACCCTGGTTATTTGACCACATGGAGAGAGGGCCGTCTAGCCATTGGAGGTCTCCTGGGTGAGATTAAAACAGCAATGATGTTCAGCGTTCTTCAAAATTGTCTGCACAGTCTTGAATAATTTCTGAACAGCTACAGTCTGTATATCTTCAAATTAAAAAAAAGGTCTTATATTATTGTCCAGAAGGAGGGAAGAGTTCATAGATAAACCAGCATCAATAGAATATACATCCAAGGAGTTCAGTGGCGAGCAATCCATGGTCACTTGGGTTTTCTTCTTCCTCTCGTTCACTTTTTAGGAGAAGGTGAGGACAATGTTGGCTCCCAGTTCCTGACAGGCTGTCTGAAGAAAATCCAGGTCCAAGGGAAGGATTTGGATCTGGATTTAGCTGTCAAACACATGTCGATCTCCTCCCACAGCTGCCCTGCATAGAAAGTATGCGTGTACAGATGTTTCCAGTGGATGCCTCTGGGTTGAAATGACTTTAAAAATACAAAGTATGTAAAGTGAAAAATTGCCAACGAAATGTAATGTTGTTAGGGAGCATCACAACACCCTGATAAGCACTGAGGTTTCTTATCAGGCTGCTCATCCTGTAGTCAAAAGCCGTGTTATATCAATTAACCTCTAAAATGTGGAGGATTTACTGTTATACTGTAATATTCATGTTTTTAAAATTGATATCTCTTCCACAAGCCCCATTTTAACAGAATATACAGATTAATCTGAGAAATGTGAGTCATTTTCTGACCTTGGTACGTGCAACAGCATGTTTCTGAATAAAATACAATTATCTTTAATATATCTCTCCATGAATGTGAATTTTATTGCTGCATTTAAGACAAATAAAGGCTAATAGTGCTTTGATGAGATTCAGAAACTGTGATTAAATACTAATGAGAAATAAAGGCCGGGGTAGACCAGAGAGAAGGGGATTTAAAATGTGGATTTTGCCCCCTCTAGTGGATTTTTAGAGACGGTGTTAGATGCACCATCCACTCTGTGTATGATGTGATGTAACCAATAAAGAAAATGCATGTAGATTAAATCAGGTCAAAAACACAGTTTATCATATGAGAAAACTTCATAGTAGAATAAGAAGTAGAGTAAGAATGTCTCAGCTTCACAATCATATTAATAAAAAATTTATTCTGATATTTTGAGAGTTTTACATATTTGTAAGATTCTGAGGGATGTCTTCAGATATTTTCTTGTGGATGAGAGGTTCTTCAGAATATTATCTGTTGGTTTATAATGTACTGAAAGTTAAGATAGGCTGGGGAGAAATGCTTTATATTATCACCTCTGTATTGTCCAAAAATTTAAGCAGAAACACCTATGGCACTATTTGAATAATAAATTGTAATTATACATAGGATGTTAAATGAAACAAAATAAGAAATAGATAGAGGAAAAACATCTATGAAATTTCAAAGGGTACTGGGTGGCTATCCACCTGCTGAAACTCAACTAGTAGAAGTTGGATGATGCTGCAGAACAATGACCTTAAACATTGAAGAAAATCTACTACAGAATGACTTCAAACCAAGGAAATGTACCATTTGTAGTGGCCCAGACCAGAGATGTTGTGGAATAACCTGAAGAGAAACGTTCATACCAGACATCCAATAAGAATATGAGTTCTATAAGGAAGAATAGTCCAAACTTCATCCTGAATGTTGTGCAGACCTGATCAGCAGCTACTGGAAGAGCTTTTTTGAAATTAATGCTGCCCAAGGAGGTTCAACCTGTTATTAAAGCCAAGGGTTAACTTACATTTCCAGAACTACTGTTAATGTTTGATGGGTGTGTTCCATAAAGATATGAAGGATTATAACTATCAAATTGTTAGTATGTTATGTAAGCGCATTGTGTTTCTCTTAGATGAAGATCAGGTCATTCCAAAGGGTTCACATACTTTGTCTTGCTACTACACATTACATAAATGAATCAAGTGGAAAAAAAGAAATATATTTGAGCATGGGAAAACTTTTTAGCCAGTAAAATCAACTTATTTACCATAAAATCCAGAATATTCCAACTCCAACAGATCTCACTTTCAGTGGGTGCAATAGTATAGCTTTAGACTAAGGTCAAAAATAAAATTAAAAAATACAAAACAAAAAAGGGAGCCCCCCCAAAAAAAGAAAGCTTCCATTTCTAATTTATGAACATGTGAACATCTGAAATTTATTTTATATTGGGTGATTTAATGTTTTACTGTAAGGGTGCGGTGCGGCTCAATTGTATCGATTTCTGAAATCTACCGGATACCATAACGTTACTGTCGCAAACCCCGAGTGTCGTGAACACTGGCCGCCCACTGAAGATGGCGGCGGAGCTGCATCCGCGGAGCGGAAAGCTGATCGGCCTGTCCAACTCGAACCGAACCGCTCGGCGCAACCAGCCAGTCCAGGAGTTCAACCACGGCCTGGTGCTTAGCAAGGAGCCACTGAGGGACAGAGATGTCTTCACTGTCCGCATTGATAAGAAGGTAAGCAACAACAGGCCGCCGCCACTGCTCCTCCAGAGCGGGGCGAGAGCAGCGATAATGCGGGAGCAGCGCTGGTGGGACGGGCCGGGGGTCTGTCACTGTCCGCAGTGAGGAGCTCCTGCTGTTCAGGGCGGTTCACACTGCTTGACAGCGACCAAGGTTGTCGGGATTGTTTAGGCGAATTAGGCACTTTGTCATAGATTTAGCAGGGACACAGAGGCTTAAGAAACACCTTCTTATGTGTATAAATGTTAAACGGATCGCTGAGCTAACGACAACCTGCCCGGGGTGCCTCGGTGCAGGCAGTTAGCCATGCTAATGAGCCGTTAGCAGTAGCAGGCGGTGTGATTCCAGGCTAGCCGGGGCTAGCTTTTCTGGAAGGTGCTATGGGTGCTCTGTCGCGTGTTGACAAAGACTTGGTGTTGTTTATTGAGCCACAGGAGTGGAGTAACGCCGGCTAACGTAGCTCTGGGGGGTGACAGTCATCGGTGCCTGTCAGCCTCTCTGCCGGTCTGTCTGTCCCGGTGGCTAATAATGCTGCAGTGCTCAAACCAGACCGGGCTGTCATAGTGACTCAAAGGCTTATGTGTGAACCTAAATAGACACAAATACGTAGAATCGGCCCCTGCTTTCTGTTTCCAGCGTCACCAATAATAATATCCAGAGTTGCATGTTTAAAGACTGAGCTTGTCTCCTTAATATTTACACACATCTTGAGCCAAACACAAAGCACATTCAGACATTACTAGCTCTGACCAGGCAGCGTAATGCATGAGGAGTTTGACCACTAACAGGTATAACTCATTAATTACAGGTATTTAAACATGGACTCTTAATTGCTGGGACATTTGCTGTCATAATACTTTTTGTTACTATTTATTTGTATTAATTTAAAGGTATTTTACAATAGAAAATGACAAACTTAACATGACCAATTTGAGTATACATTTCTTATGCAACTGTCCAGGTTGTCATTAGATTCATCCAGACATGATAGACTGCTCTGTGTTTGCAGTGAATGTGATCCAGTTTCTGGGAAAAGTCTCCCCCTCCTTCCTCAGCAAAAACATCACAACTTCTGTATTTAATTTTAAAAAATATTGCTTTAACATTAGTGGTTAACTGTTGTTTGTGCTGTATGCTCTTGTCTCTCCACACCTTGTCAATTCCTGTGCAACGTGTTTACAGTGTTTGGCTGTTTTCAGTGTAGGATAGCTTGTCTGTTGTAATGGCTTCTGCCTCTGCGCCCTGCCAACCTATTGGGTTTATCAACAACATGGCAGCTCTGGAGCGTGTGCCAATGCCAACTGGGCCACACACCCTTCTAAATAACAGTGTGTCCAGCCAAGACCCCTGCGCATAGATAGGTTATTTTGAAAATGTACCATGCAGAGGCCGAGCTGCATGAGTGCCAGTAAAGCTAAACATCCAGGTTAATAGCACCTACTGTATATAAACGATTACCCATCCCTTATGGCTCCCATAAACAGCCTCATGCTCTGTCATGACATGCATTGCCTGTCTCAAAATCAATAACTTTCCATCACAGAGCACACAGATTGTTATGACTGCCCATCCTGTCCACTGGCATCCACTAAGCTACAGTGGAAGTTGGAAAATGAGTGCAAGAGAGCAAATGAAGTTATTTATTACTTGCTGTCAATGGTTTTGGGTTTGTATTTAAGACTGGAAGAAGTAACTTTACTGTGGTTTAGAAAGTGATCCAAAGGGATGATCCAAGTTTACTTTGTGTATTAGTTAGAACTAATTAGATTTTAAACTGGAGATGCCCTGTAGCCTAAAACAGTCACAGGCAGTTAGAGCTGAAACAGTTAGTTGATGTAATCAATCAGTCGCAGCCATCTACCCAACATTAGCCTTGAAATGCATCTTCAATATGATATTGTTTTTATTTATTTTTTTGCCAATATTACCTCTACTGGTGCATGTCAAAGAAATACAACAGTCAAATTAGCAATAGAATGAAGGTATCAGTAAATTTAGTATTTTAAAGCCCAGATTGTTTTTCATATTTGACTTAAATATTCATATTTGTTAAAATTTGTACAAGCTTTTAAACTGAATACATGCCAATCAAAATGAGTTTAGTGTGTCACTTTCTTTGTCCAAATCCTGCCTATATTTTGGCTGTTAACATGTAAATTTATTCAAAATTTTTGTTAGTTATTGTGTGAATTGTGTTCCCCTCTCCTGTTCAGGGTTCAGTTGTTAGATTTTGTGTGTGTGGATGGTCTGAGAGCTTTTTCTGCTCTGCATAGTCTTAGCAATGCGTCTCGGGCACCGCGTTTGAATTTAAAATCGCATGCAGTTAATTTTCCATTCTTTTAAAAAGCTGTTCAGTTGTCCTACTTGGCATGTATGGTTGTGTCCTGTAGTTATTGGGCTTCTGAACAGAGAGAGACTGAGAGGCAGACACCCACAGGCTGCTGTTACATAAGTGAGTGAGCGAGCAAAGGAGATGTCTGTCTCCTCCACACAGCGACCCGGTCAGGCTGAGTTACTACTAAATCTGTTAACCTAGATACCCGGGCTGTCGTAGCACACTGCCTTACATAGCACCTGCCATGGAGCTCAGGAGGACACCAGGGGAACAGATGAAGGAGAGGAGGCAGACAGGACAACATTTTCAAAATAATATTGATCTCAAAGGAAATTTCGTTTTGTTCTCTCTTTGGCACAGAGGTGAGCTGCAGAGAAAAGAAAAAAAAAAAAACCACAGGAGGTGGCAGGGCTTCAATGTTATGGCCAAGGTCACTTCATCAGGGTGGATTTCTGCCAACTTAAACTAGAGTCCTGTGGAGAAGCTTGGAAAAGAGGAATAGTTGGATATTGATCTTACAGTTTAGATTACATTTGACTAAATTCTCTATAGCCTGAGGCACAAACTGCAGAGCTTTTTGTTGCATGTTTTTCTCCCAGGCCGGCAGGTGGAGGGCAGCGAGCCAGGAGATCGCTCCTCCTCGGTGAGATGACGTGGGTTCATGCCCCCGTGTTCGCAAGCATCTGTTGGAGTGAAGTGTCTCTGAGCAAGATTGTGAATCTCCACCAGCTGCACTGACTCTGTTATAGCTGACACTGCAGTCTGTCATCCACATTGTGGGGGCAAAACAAATACCCCCAGAGATCAATAAAGCATCACATTATTGTGATTATGTTGAGTTTTGTGTTTCTGGGAAGAAAATGGATATCTTAGGCTGCTTGTTACGTGATAGGAGTCCAATGTCATGCAAAGACAAGGAGTTTTGCAGTTAAACGTTTGTGTGCAAGGAAAAAAAAAGCGAGATCATTG